TGTCTTTCGCCCGGTGCTGATGTATTCCAGTTTTGGAATTTGAGAGGTACTTTCCTCTTTACCCCCCTCTGACTGAAAAGCAAGAGAAAACCTCACAGCAAAGCACTTCCTCTTGTAAAGGGAATATAGTAAATAAACTGCATGTCTCGCACAGAACTGGATTTATGGACATGTCAAGTCCTCTTGAATTTGATTTGACAACAGGATACGGCCAGCAGTAAATTCAAGACACTTTTCACTTTTTTCAAGCGCAGTATTGAACCTTGATAAATAAAGTAGACAAGACTTCTTTTTTTGTCTTCTTGCTTCTTTCAGCTACTTACTGTTGCTGTTCTTTGTAGTTTTTTTGCAGCAATGGACAAGACCTGTTTTTAATCAATAACACAGTGAGTGAGAAAAGAAGAAAGTCACACTAGATGCTAAAAGAGGACAGGCCTCTTTGAATGATGGTCGAAGTCTGATTCTTTGACTTGTCATGATGAATTTTAATGGCTTCCTACACAGGGAATGTTCAAAGCTGCTTAGAATACTTTCACCCCCATGTTGCATTGAAAGTACCTGGTATGTGCAATAGTAAGTAATCATTTGATTAGAATAAGCACTGATAAAAATGAATTTCAGACAAGTTAAGAAATATTTTAAAACAGAACATTTACAGTAGTTTATGTCTGCAATTCATTATAAATCGAGAGACTATAAGACTGATGATGATGAGGAGGAGGAGGATGTTTTTAATTACACCAAACTTAAGGATGTCTATGACTGTGCATGAGCGGGATATACTGTTGTGCTTATTCATTGACAGCAAGTCAGTTTGCTGCTCGAATCAATCAATAGGGAAAATCAAGGGAGTTATTTAGCAAACCATATTTAAAACAAATGAACCTATTGAATTAGGTTAATGTAAAGTTCCTGCACCAAGTCCGGATCCTCTGATGCTGTTAGCATCGATTGCTGCCGGTGTCCGTGTCAGTCTGAGATTGACGGGCACCTCCTCCTCCTCTCCTCCTCTCCGCCACAGTCATCGAGGTCTCTGCAGTGGCCTGGGGAACGGGAGCTTCATTTTTTCTCTGCCCCGAAGGTACATGGGCTCAACAGGGGAGAGGAAAACAAATCCAGAAAAAAGGACAGATGATGTATTGTTTGAAAAGAAGCACAAACATTTTACGTTAGACTGAGACTCTGATGTGCTCGTTTGACTGATCCGGGATCTTTGGCCTCCTGTCAGGCTGTGTTCTGAGTGGTGTTCATTAATCAGACTGGATGCGTGAACTTGAGCACTGCCTTGCCTGTCCCACATCAGCCCTGAAACTCAGAAACAGGGCTGCAGTGAGCCCCTGTGCCCCAGGCAGCAGCAGCTCCTGCTTCGGTGTGTCAGATTTCAGCTCAGGGAAGGTGGCCTTGACCTGCAGGAGATATTTCTCTCCGCAGGAATAATTGCCACAATCACAACCCGCTAAAAGCTTCCTCTCCGTTGCTCTGGGTGTGAAAGAAGAACTGTGTTGATGGCAGATGGCTTCCGAGGGGATTTGGGCTTTACTAGCTCTTGGGATCAAGCAGAGGGCTTGGAAAGTCTGGAATTCTTTCAGGATGTCAAGCCGGTGTGCTCTTTCTAAAGCATCGCTTTGCTGTGAGCAGGCGGATGAGTTTAAGGAAACCATTTCCTCCAGCTTGGCTTCCTGCGCCTCTGTTTCTCTGCACTTCTCACTACCCTTGATACCTTCTCATTTTGTTTTCTTATATTGGTCTGCTTTAGATAAGGAAGGTTGCAAAATGCAATTCTAAATCAATTATTGTTATGGGTTAATTGCAAGTTTATTACAACACAAGAGATAGCTCTATTAATACTAAATTGAAGTTTCTTATTATGCATTTATATAACATTTCTTTTGCATACTCTGAAGATTCATCAATTATCGCCAGTCAGAACATTTTGTCCCTTTGATGATCTGATTAATCAAGATTTTACTCGACACACATCTCTGCTAATAAAAAAGAGCTCTTCCCATTACTGTACAGCATATTGAGCTGCCAGAGGTCTGCAGTATCATGGGTGACCTCTGCCTCCCAATTAAAACACAACAATGTTGCTGTCAGTCTACCACAGAGCTCAGTACCACTGACATTGCAGATTAAAGTTTGTTGCTTTATGTTTCACTGCTTATCTTGTACTAATTAGCCATTGTCTTTCCCATCTTGTGTCTTGATATTAAGAGAAGGACACCTATCTGACAGGATACTTACCTGTCTGGCTTCCCAGCAACACAAACTATATACTCAGCAAGGGGTGTGAAGTGAGGACACTATTCTATAATTGTTCATTGTAATGGGCTTTAAAGGAGTGCAATCATAGCAGAACAGCTCTAGATGTAGATAACCTTTTTCAGATTTGGAATACATTTCCTTCACAATGCAGAAATTATGTATTGCTAAGGCTTCATCTTCATACTTTTAGACAGTAGCTTTCTATGCTTTGTTCATGGGCAATGAAACCCGTATTCCTCCTTTAATTTCTTTAATTCTGCAATTCTATTTAATACCAGAATGAAGCTATGCCCTGATTTGCATGATAATGATCATTCAACACGCATTTGTGCAGATGTGCAGTGTAAAGTGTTATGAATAATCCAAACCCTCTGTAGCTAATGTAATTCATTCAAAACCCCCTGGTTTACTGTTTCTTAGTAAAGTCCTAAAAGTGCAAGTCTTGTACGGATGGGAAAATGTGCCCTGTTTCCTATATGTGCCCTGTTTCCTATATGAAGAGTGGAGAAATGGGGCAGTGGTATATCTCAATTGAGAGCTATTAATATCAGGCTTCAGTGACAATCCCCATTCTGCCATTAATAGGGTGACAAAATGGCCTGGCAGAGAAATCACATCAGCTATGTGAGAAACGCCGCTGACGATACAGCCATTGGCCTAACAGTGTAATCAGGCTAAGTCTCTTCTGAGTCAAAGTAATCACTACAGTAATGCATAAAGAATAATTATGCTGCACTTGAGTTGCCAGTCCTGTCTCTCACAGCTCAGTGATAGGATTGGCAGCTTTGAGGCACAATAGTATTCTAATACTATCACTATCAGAAAGTTTTATGCTTGCAGCAAGTAGATGCTATATGCAAATATGTTTCAAAAACAGCCTTTACATGTATTTATCACGCACATCACATGCTTTCGTTTTGAACAGGTTCAATCAGATAAAGACTGAGTATCTTAAGCACTGTTAGAGATTTAGCTCTTGCAAAGTGATGACTCTAAAGGAAATTTTCAACCTTTAAAGAAAAAATATATACAGTACACGTGGCATGGACAAGTCTGTTAAGTCTTCTACCTGAACTTCATTCCCAGCGCCTCCATCGATTAAATCAGACTGCACTGCTTAGTGAGTTACAATCATCTCTGTGATTAGGCTTTATTGATCAGGCTTGGCTTCCTCCTTTCTGTATTTATCAGGGCTTGACATTTCTCTTAATCCTCTTTTTCTTAATCCTCCAATAAATATAGATAACTTCTGGTCTGCAGCTTTTGATAAAGGCGATTTCTGTCCCAGTAACTGCAAATACAAAAGTTCACTTCGTTTCCGAGTGTACATGGCTAATGGCAAAGAGCACCTGCCTTAAGTTAAGAGTCACAGTCGCCAGACGATAATCAAGGTTTGAATTATGCATGTTTTTGCCATTACTTAAGCAGAAGGCATTGGCAAAGTCAAATTCCATTACAGTTAAAAAAATAGATTTTTGAAATGGATTGAAATGTATTCCCACTGTTCTTTCAAGAGTAGCAAACCAAGAAAATCAAAGTGCTATTGACCTAGCATTGCTTGTAAAAGTAAATAAAAAACAATTGCCCTTTTAACTAAAGTCATGATGTCGGGGCTAGGTATTGATACAAACACCAAAATGGAGAACGTTCCTTACCAATAAGATATTTTTAATTTACGAGTTTAAGATCTTTCACTTACCAGACTACAAGGAAAGATGCCACAGTTCCTCTTTTCTGGGGATCTCAATGCTGGAAATTCCTTTTCGAATGTATGAATATTGCTGCCCCCAAGCTGTTTCTGTGGGTAGTTTAGTTCAGAACAACCATGTGATGCCAGCAAACTGCCACTATACACATCATTCTGTCTGCTCTTCACCTTATATCCCACCCAGAGAACATTGAGGCTGTTTGTTAGTGGTAAAGGAGAAAAAAAAACACTTAAAGACAGCCCGGGCAGTGTATATTTCCATTTGGTTTTATGAAAAAGATAAGAGCATCTCCATCATGCATTTTTGAATATACTGTAGTGATGCTTTTGCATAAGATATTAATACTTTGCAAAAACAACAACTTTTGCATCCAATTTTAAGAAGAGTTTTGAAAAAGCTGAATTAGGATTTGTTAATAGATCATGCTTGGCCTAGACTGTCATAATATCAGCAGAAGTGTAATTGTAATACAGTTCCTTCCCTTGAAGTGATCTCAAGAGTAAATGGTTTGGCTGTCTTGACCTGAACGAGTGCATTGATAGAATATAGTGTTAACAAATGGAATAGATTTAAAATTCCTGAGGCACAGGAACAAATGGGAATTAGGTTTTTCTCAAACAGGCAGTGTTAATAGATTCCAGCCCAGCGTGTGTTTTTGAAGAGCACTGATTTCCTTTGGTTGCTCTGAGCTGGTGTTGTCGTCTGTTTTGTCGGAGGGCTGAGTTGAGTAGACCGAGCCCTGAGCAGGCAGAATTTTTAATTTGATCAGTCTTAAACAAAGGTAGGCTGAGATGTGATTAGCAACTTCAGATAGAGGAAATTGCTTTCCATTTCTCCGAGGCATATCTGTTTGAGGGCAGGTTTTGCAGACTCTGTCCTTAGGAAGGAAGCAGCGATGTGGGTAAGGGTGTGCTGATGTGGTTGTTGATGTCCATAACACTGCAATGTGTGGGCCAGTTTATGAAGATAAACCACATTGTTCAGCTCGATTACTGTGAAACCTGAACCTCCTTCTTCTTCTTTCAGAGACCGTCCTCAGAGTGACTTCTGGAGGAAATCAAATGCTACTGTCAACTGTGTGGGGTGTTAAATCCATGTGAGTAATCAAATGTATGTGTCTTTCAGTATTTTTGTCCAAAAAGTATCAAATAAATCCAGCATATGCAACTTAACTCTCTTGGAAGTCAGCAATGATTGATGATGTCTTTCCAGTGGCTTCCTTTAAATCCCTGCTTATAACCTGATCCAGAATTTATAAAATCTTAAAATACCGTAAAGTGCTATTTCCCCAAGTGCAAATGCTGAGGTCAGATCTGCTTATTAAAACCTTCTGACGGAGTTTTCCACAGGAGTTATTCAAGCTGTGATTTCAGAGTTTCATCACCTAGGTGTCGCTGACAGTAACAAAGGCCTGTAGTGTGAAGGCTGACAGGAGAGATGTTTCCAATTGCGCAGGGTCTCTCCATTATGAACATCATTTTTTTTACCACAGCATTAGGCTGTGGCGTTTAGCCTGGTTCTCTTGCCATTTATTTGATACCTTTCAAGCTCCTGAGGAATGCAGAAATACAAAAACACTCTTAATGGTGTCACTTTGCTGGCTGCAGTCTGAGGAGGCTGTGAGATATGGTATGTCCCATCTATCACTAACAGATATATCTGCATCTTACTTACAGCACAAAAACTCTTCAGTTAATGAAATGCATGTGAAGTAGAACTCTGTAGTTATTTAAAACAGTTATTGGCTCTCAGCTGATGGCCATGTTTTGTACAGTAATTTAAACCAGCTCTAACAACAACAGCTAACTGAGTGTGAAGGCTCCAAATATCAGATTTTCAATAAACATACAGCCATTGACACATATGTGTTGCAGAAGAGTATCTAGTATTCCCATGGCTATCTGTTTGGAACAGTGTACAAGAACAGTACCTGCAGCTGGACCACAATAAGTTCTAAGCAATAGCAATATGAATTCACAACCCTAAACCTAGTGCACTACTGTTTAGAAGACTACTTCAGTTAAGCACAACCTGGAGCTCATTTTGGAATCACAGGGCACAAGGCAGGATTACACCCTAACTGGAACCATCAGTCCAATGCAGGGAACACACAGGGGGACACTTTAGAGACTCAAATTCATCTAGAAACAGTAGCATGTCTCTGGAAGGTGGAATTAAACTGGAGCACCCTCATGAAATCCAAAGTGAATTGGAGAAAACATGCAGGCTCCAGACAAAAGCCACCCCAGTACCTAGGACACGTTACCTAACAGCACTAATCACTATGCTATTATGTAAGCATGATAGCTTAATTCTTCATATCCTTGGCATTGAGCTCCTAAAGAAAATAATAACCTTCTGCATATTTGTTTCCCCGAATTTAGCACCCAGACTGGACGGGAATTCATGTCAATGGCATTCAACAAATCTGCTATATTTAACAGTTGTATATTTGGACGTGAAATGAATCGCTAGAGATTTTGGAAAATTGTCATTGGATTCTCCCCAACCTGCCAGCCGGCCAGCTGGGCCAGCGTGTGCACAGATACTCAGGCAATCAGCACCAGAGGCTGATTGCAAACACAAGTTTCGGGATTGATGCTGATTGATATCCCAGAAGACTCCCTAAGCTGTAATCATTAATGAATCATGTGGAAATCACAGTGAAGAGTGTCATTCTAAATTAGCCGAGTCCCCCATTACGGCATTTTCAAAGCTCCCCTATTAACTCTGTTGATATCAAAGAGCGCCGGGGGGAGCAATATTAGTTTTGTTGCCATTCCAGCTTGCTGATTAATCCCCTTCAAAAACTGAAGACCCAGTGGAGTTCTAATTAATTACCACAACACTGTTTACGCAATCCCTAACCATTCTGCAACACCCTCAGCCCTTCAGTCCTACTTTTAGGGATGGGAACCAGCTCCACTATCTTGAACACATTGCCCACTCTAAGAAGTTTCATGCGGACTCCAAAATCCTCATGCTCACCTATAAGGCTCTGCATTGCCTGGCACCTCAGTACCAGTCTTAGTTACTACTAAGACTACTACTGTCCTACTCCCCACCTCGCAACCTTCGGCCATCTTACTCAGGTCTCCTCTCTGTCCCCCAAATTTGCTTACACCCTGGGGTGACAGGGCTTCTCCTGCTATGCCCCAAAATGTCTTGAATCCCAACCCCAAGGAAATCAGAGTCACCTTTGCTTTCAAATGCGGACTCAAAACCGCCTTCTTTTTCTTTGTGCTAATTGTATCTCCTTTGCTACAGTTTTCATTGTTTTACCTTTCTATAACGAGCTTTGAGGAGTTGCTTTTAAAGGTGCTACATAAAATTGTTTCACTCCGGTTGGTTTCCTGGCACCTTGCTGTTTATGTGACTTATACACGGAGCATGACTGCCCACCTGCAGGCCTGCGATTTCCATTTGTGAGCCCTAGAAACTATAAGGTCTTTGAGAGAAATTTGTTTCCCTCATAGTGGTGCTTGAAGTTCTGAGCACATCATAATCGTAGTTTTATTTCAAATCATAAAAGCAGAATTTATTCTCTTTCCCCGCCAACCCAACCTTGTTCTGCTTAAATTTCCTCTCTTGTGAAAGCCTTAAAAGTTATTTCAGTGATCTAGTTCTTCTTTGTCACCTCGGCTAATGTGCTGCCCTCTTTTGAAGTAACAAAGTCCATGATAAAAAAGAAACAAAAGAAGAGTTATTACCAACTTCAAATTCACCTTGTCAGCTGGGATCTCCTGAGCTCAACGGCTTTCCAAGTTTATGTCTTAATAATGGGCCCTACTATTTTAAAAAATATGAGCACGTCTAGGGGAGGTTGGAAAGGTGGGTCATTAACGAGCTCACTGAAGTCACAGCACAGATTCTGCATGGACAGATTGGTGTAGTTCTTTGTGAAGTTTGAACAGGGCTCAAAGAGAGACTTACCTCTTCCTGTACCAGAACGTTTCGGGGAGTATTTATGATCCTTCTTTCTCTTGCATCTCTTCAGCTTGGCCCCTTCTGAATCAGTCCTGGCAAGCTTACAAGTCACATACTGTACAGTGGCGTGTTGTTCGCGGCATTTCCATTTTACTGACAATATTTAGCTCAAACAGCCCATTCTTGCAATACAGAATACAGTATTTGTCAGCACGCTGCCTGTGGTCAGGCATTCTGATAAGCTAACGCTTTATTAATCCGGAACAATCGGGAAATGCCTTCTCTCATGCCTTGCTATTGCTTTGGTCCCTACATTGGTACACTATAGCTGCACATCTCTGATTCTTGAGTCTTGCCCAGTTGCTGTCTTAACCACACTGTGCTAGTCAATCTCCAACACCTCTTCTCTCCCTTTACCTCCTCCTGAGGTATCTGTTCTCCCACCTCCAGTGCCTCTTCATTCTGGAGCCCACAGACAGAACTGCTCACTTCCCCAACCGTCTCAATACTCATCAGCCCGGATTCAAACCGTGATCTCTTTCCCACTGCCGTGAACATTTCACTACCAGCCCATAATGCTCTGTGCTCAAGGGCAGTTCTTTACTGCAATCAGTGATTCCTTACCTACACCTTGTGTACTGCTTCATGCCTAATGTTGTCACACTGCTGCGCTCTGCACAGACATTGCATGTCTATCATTTTGTTCGTTTCATTTTTATTTTTGATTGTTCTACTATATGTGGATGATTTATTTTTGCATTTCTCTTAATGTGTCGTAGATTGTTAAGTTGTCCAGGAAAGCTTGTCTGCTGAGCAAATAATGACTTTGCATCTCCTCCATGACAGCAGTGAGCACTGCACAGTCAACTGATCTCACAGTGCAGTGCTCACAGTTACTTCTACATATCACAAGCCATCTAGTCCAAATGATGGCACAGTGCACTGGGGGGTCTTGCAATACTGGACAGCCTATTACAGAAATAAAACCCTCATCACATGTATTCAATGTGTAACCCATTGGGCATAAGAAGGTGATTACTTTTTTGCATGGCCATATCTAAGAATCTAAAGTCTAAAGCTTTCTAACTCAAAGACAAAGAATTTGTCCGCTGTTTGTTGTGTGGCATGATGTAGGCAGCATACCAGCCTGCATGGTTTTTCTTCATCCAGAAGGCACGTACTGTGACTTTCATGACGGCTAAAAACACTGCAAGCTCATTTGGAATTTCAAACACCAATCTGCAGCGTTTTCTATTCTGTCCTGTCCGTTACTGCTTTCACAAAGTGAATCCTAGCCCCGTGGAAAGACAAAGCATTCCCCAATGACTTGCCAAGACATGAAAAGGGCTGCGTTCAAGATTTGACTTTTAAACAGCCACTGATGCTTGTCATTCTCATGCACTGCTCAATCTGGCACGGTCAGGAGATGGGAACAGAAGACACGCTTTTATTAATTACTGCTGACCTCCGCGTCACTG